GTGATTTGGCTCCTAAGAGTACCTGTACCCCTGTATGTTATGGTCTCCAAGGAACTCGTCCAGGAGTTTCTTGAATGATTTCACACTCTTCGCTGAAATCACTTCCTGTGGCAGCGAGTTCCAGACCCAAACCGCTCTAACTGTGAAGAACCACCTGCGCCCCGTGTGTAGACATTTTTTTTCTACCAATTTGTGGTGATGGCCTCTAGTCTTTGTTACGGAGCTAACCGTAAACAGTTTGTTTAAAATGTTGCTATCGCCGTTGAACAGTTTATACAAGAAAATCATGTCCCCCTTAATCTCCTGACCTCCAAAGAGAACATATTTAATTTTAACAACCTTGTTTCATAGTTCAGGTCTTCGAACCCCTTAATGAGTTTGGTTGCCCTCCGCTGTAGTTTTTCCAGCTCAAGGACATCCTTTCCTTTCGGTGACCAAAACTGGACCGCATACTCCAGATGAGGCCGAACTAGTGCTCTGTAAAGTGGCAAAGTTATAGACTTATCCTTGCAATGCATTCCCTTCTTAATGCAAGACAGTACTCTGCTTGCTTTGTTTACAGCAGCCTGGCACTGCGAGCTGTTCTTCAATCTGCGGTCTAGAATGACCCCCAAATCCGTCTCAGTTTCCGACTTCCATAGTGGCACATCCATAAGTGTATAGTTCATTTGCCTATTTTTAACTCCAAAGTGTATTACCTTGCATTTATCGACATTGAACTTCATCTGCCATATAGTTGGCCATTCCCAGAGTTTATCCAGGTCCACCTGTAATGTTACAATGTCTAAATACATGTCTATTACCCTCCCAATTTTCGTATCATCAGCAAACACTGAGACATGACTACTCACTCCCTCCCCGATATCATTAATAAACAGGTTAAAAAGCATGGGGCCCAGCACAGAACCCTGGGGCACGCCACTCCTGACTTCAACCCAGTCTGAAAAGGTGCCATTTATAGATACTCTTTGTACACGTTCCATTAGCCTGTATTCTATCCACGTGCACACTATTTCATCTATGCCCATAGCTTGTATAACAAGCGTTTATGTGGCACCGTATCAAATGCTTTAGAAAAGTCCAGATATACTACGTCCACAGTCCTCCCTCCATCTAGATCTCTACTCGCCTCCTCATAAAAGATTAGCAGGTTGGTCTGGCAAGAACGGGCCTTCCTAAATCCATGCTGGTTATCAGTTTTTATGCCATTATCCCGAACAAATTCCACTTAGTCCTTAATAATTCCCTCTAACAGTTTACATACTAGACATGTCAGACTAACTGGTCTATAGTCCCCCGGTTGGCATTTTGACCTTTTTGAATATAGGTGCAGCATTAGCCCTTCGCCAGTCGCTTGGCACTCTACCAGCCATTATGGATTCCTTAAAAATGAGGAACAATGGTCTCGTTATCTCCTTGTTGAGTTCCTTGAGTACCTTGGGATGTAGATTATCGGGTCCTAATGCTTTATTTGCATTTAGTAGTTTAAGCTTATGTTGTATCCCAGTTTCAGTCAACCACTCAGGTGTATTTATTTTTAAATTTTGTGCTTTACCATGTACATTAAACCCGTCTTTTTCCTCGGTGAATACCGACGAGAAAAAAATATTTAGCGCCTCGGCCCTCTCCATGTCATCTGTTATTAATTAGTTTATAATTTAGTATAATTTAGTATTTGTAAATGTGTCCTGGTCCTCACTAGACCGCCATCCATGAAGTCATGCCAGCGTGGAGATGGTTTTCTCAATCAATTTAGGTTCTTAAAAAGTTTTGTAGATATCAATTTTTTTGCGTACTGAGAGCCTATTCCTTTTGTTTTTTTATTTGGTATTGTTGTTGTTGTCTTCAGGAATATTATGCTTCACACTGCTTTTGGCATTTTCTGGCCAATATGGTCACTTGTCCGGAAATAATTAAATATAGGATGCAATTTCTATCAGGAGGAAATTCTCTGCTTCAAATGGACATTACACATCTGTATCTGACAGATCAGGTGGTGTGGTGGTCTGATTTAGACTAGTAAAGGAAATTTGTAGATCAAGATCTAGGGGTTATCACTGCTAACCTTCTTCAAACAATATTAGTTTGCCTGGCTGTCTCTTGCTTCAGTACTATCAGAGTCACTGACCAAAACAAGCATGCAAAGCAAAAAAAGTCAAAGTGAAGTCAGAATGCCTGATTTGCATATATGTTCCAGGCCTGTAACTCAAAGTGCTGAAGAAACTCAATCAGCATGAGAGCCAGGTAACTAGCCTTCTGTTAGAAATGACAGTCCTCTTATTTTACTCAGTACAGCTTTCTTTAATACTAGTAAACATCAAGTAAAAGTCTCAAAGATTAACCCTGGGCAGGGATAGAAATAACTACCGTCTGCCACTAGCTGGTGAGTAGTATATTGCTAATTTTTTCAGGGAATGACTAAACACGCAGAAATACTTGCCTTACTCTACAGTCCTGTGACAGCTGCGACAGCTAATAGTCTGGTCCTGTTCCCTTTAGTGCTAGAATGTGGGTGGGCACTCCTACTTCATCATGTAAGATGCAGGACCAGGAGCCACGTCATTAGGATGGGACTAGGCTGCTGGTTCGGCATTGTATGTGATGATGTCCGCAATAAGGCCTGCAGTGACGTATCCCGGGCGCGGCACATATTTCGGGCACCACTTGAAGGGGGGGGGGGGGGGGGGCGCCCCCGGGGGAAAAA